TATATATATGATTTAGAAAAGTGAAGGGTGATTATGAATGACAAATTTGAAGATTGATAGTTGGAGGATGTAAAGCGATTTATTTTTGAAAAGGTGATTTGTGTGGACTGGCAAGTGAAAAGTGTATATTTTGAGGGCTGATTTGTGAATCTGAATATTAAGGGTATTGTGTGAGAAAGGTGTTTGTTTGAGTTTTAGAAAATAATGTGAAAAATGGGATAGGTGAGAAGAAAGGTTTGATTGTAAAATTAAGATGTGGGTGTACTTTGAAAGGTGATAATGTGATATTTGAAAGGTGAAAGGCGTGTACTTTGAAAGTTGAAAAGTGGGAAAGGTTGAGAGAAAGATTGGATTGTGAGATCAAGGTAAAGATTAGTTTTGAAGAAATTGTAGAAAATTTTAGGAAATGAATGTCCATGTGAAAAACAAAGTGTTTAGGTGTGGAAGAAATTATTTGTGTGTTTTAAAAGGGGTAATATAGTGACTTGTGTATATAGAAGAAAAAGTAAGTTGTATATTTTGGGAGGTAAGATATTTTGGAAAGAGTGTATTACAAAGTGTATGGATTTTTTTTTTTTTTAAGATTAAGATTTGAAAATGTTAAAAAGTGGAATTTGTGGGTGTTTTGAAAAGTGGAGCTCAAATGTGCTTTCAAAAAGTGAAATGTTCGAAAGACAGTCAACTAAGCCGGTGTTCAAGCCCAAAGAAATGTACGTCTTTACTTTTAGTAAATTTCAATTATTTCATTATTATTTATTAAATGAACTTTCTAATCCCTACTTTTCCTGTTTTTCTTTTCTTTATTTGCATGAACTGCGAGGAACGGTACCGGTCGAGGGAACAAAAGTACAAGGAGCTAAAGGTGTCAGTCGCCTCTATCCAACCGGGTAGAGGTGCTACGGGCGGAACCACCGGGTCATAGCCCCCGGTGACTGTGAGTATTTCTAAACTTAGAAAACCTTTAGGGACCCCTTGATGTGGTGTGCGAAACCTTCCTTTTTAGGTCCCTGTAGTAACTTCAATTTAATTAGGATTACTTTTTGCTCTTAGACCCCTAAACCCCTTTATACGTACGAAAAGTCTTAAGGGTTAGTGATAACAAATATTTTTACCCCATATAACAATAGTAACACTTAAGGACAAAAATTAAGGATGCTTCTCACAGATCAGAATCTATCCGCAGCAATTTGTTCCAAAATTTCATCACTGGAACTTCCTTTCATAATAAATCTTGAATCAGCTTCTGATATTTGGAATACCCTTGAAACCTGGTTTCAGTCCACAAATTGTTCTAAGATTATCCAAATAAGAACAAATTATACCACATTTCCGTCAAGAACTCCACTATGACACAATATCTTGCCGATATAAAATCTTTAGTTAATCAAATTGCTTCTTTCGGTTCCAAAGTGGATGCCGAAGATATAATTTTATTAATGAATGTAAGCAAAAAATTGAACCAAATTAGTCTAATTTGACCAATTTTGGGTTCAATTGACCAAGTCAACTTTTGACTGAGTTAGGATGACCAATGTTTTCCATTTCATCAGGAGTGATGATCAAAATAGTTTAGTGAAGATCAAGGTTCATTTGGACCTTGATTAGAAGTAATTTAAGTGTATGATTAATTAAGCTAGCCTGGGCTAGCTCAACTGGGTCAATCTCTAGCCAAGGAGCTAGTGATGATTGATTTGATACATGGACCTCCATGTAGGTGGTTTGAACCATGATTGAGGGTAGGGATGCTAGTACATTATACAATGTAGTATATTGGGTCAATTAACAGCAGTAGGATTATTAATTGATGATTAAATAGTCTTTGACTGATGGTGAATGATTGTGTACTAGATAGTTATAAATCAAATGATTGTATGTTGGATGATTGATAGCTGGATTACTGTCAATCATAAGATTTGATAATCAGAGAATTAGGTAGTTCATGATGACCTCATAAAAAATTGAGGTCAAAAAATGGACCCCCAATAGGTGTGATGAACTCGAAGAGTAAATCACACATATTGGTGCTAACTGAGGAGATCAACAAAATTTAGAATCTGAAGACTTGATTGAAAGATCAATTTTCAAACAAGCAAATGTAGGACCTAACTAAGAGATTGATTCTCAAAGAGAAAAATGTAAACTTTGAAAGGGAGATCAATTCACAAGCAAAGAAGGACACCTAAATGGAAGATCGATTCTCAACCGACTGAATTTGGAACCTAACTAAGAGATCGAATCTCGAAGAAGAAGATTTGTACTTTGAATGAGAGATTGATTACAAAATAAATATGGATACCCAAATGGGAGATTAATTGCCAGAAAAGTGAATTTAAAACCCGATCAAGAGATTAATTCTTGGACTGAAAGATTTGGACTTTGATTGGGAGATTAATTCTGATACATAGCTGAATACCTGAATAAGAGATCAATTCTCTGATGGGTGAATTTAGAACCTGACCAAGAGATTAATTCTTAGATTGAAAAATTTATTCTTTGACTAGGAGATTGATTCCTAGAAGAGTAAATTTAGAACATGACAGAGAGATGGATCCTCAGATAGAAAGATTTAGACTTTGACTGGGAGATCAATTCCCAAATAAAGCTGAATACCCAAATGGGATATCAAGTCCCAAACATGCGAATTTAGAACCAATACCTATGGACTCTACTAGGGATAGGTCTCTTAGTTTTTCCATTTGGACCTGGTTTACTTATTTAGCATCAACACTGAATGTTTATACTTTAAGATTTGTTTTATGACAAAACTTCTTGTAATTCATCAACCATAATAATATTTTTTAAGATAACATCCATTGAAAGGCAACATAGGACAATCTCCTTTCCAATCTATATGCTGATAAGATCCTCCTTGGTAAACCTTCTCAACCATGAAAGGACCTTCCCACGTGGGTTCAAATTTATCACCTATCCTTTCATGGGCCAAGATAGGTCTTTGTAGAACCAGCACAAAGTTGCCTACTTGGAAAGTTTATGCATGAACCAACTTGTCATGAACCTGGATCATTTTAGCTTTATACAACTCGAGATTCTATTGAGCTTGCAGACACTTCTCTTCCAAACTTTTAAGTTCTTATGAGCAGAGTTTAGAATCTTAATATGAGGTTATTTTGTAATTTACCATAACTTTTAGCGAAGGTAGTTATACTTCCAATAAAATAATAACTTTTGCACCAAAGACTAAAACAAATGGTGTAGATTGAGTTGGAGTTTTATATGTGGTATGGTATGCCCATAAAGCTTCAACCAACTTCTCTTTCCATTGATGCTTATTGTCATCTAAGCTTTTTTTTTTTACATTTGGATTAGAGTTTTATTGAAGTCCTATGCCAATCCATTTTCCCAAAGGTAATAGATGGTAAAGTATCTCCAATTGATTTTGTGACATCTAATGAAGCTGTTTATCTTAATACTTTTGAATGAATGATAGTTATCTAAGATAATCCAATGAGGAACACTAAATCAATACATGACATTCTCTTTAAAAAAATTTAGAACATGATGAGTTTTGACTTCTCTTAAAGGAACTACTTATGCCCATTTTGAGAAGTAATCTATAAATGCTAGTATAAATCTATGGCCTCTAGTGGATGGAGGATCTATCAGACCAATAATATTTATACCCTAAATTTTAAAAGGCCATGAAACAATAATTGGTTATAGGATATTTGGTGGCTGATATATGACTACACTATGCACTAGACATTTTTGACAATGATGTGCAACATTCATACAATCATTTATCATCGATAACCTGTAATATCCCATTCGTAACACCTGACAAGTTGATAGTGACAAGTCAGGTAACTTTTCACCAATATCTGTCACACGAAGCATAGGGAAGAATAATCAAAATCTCAGGACCCAAACTAAAGCTATAAGAAGAAGCATCCTGAATGACATCTACAAATATCCCCAAAGTCTGTGGGCTTTTTAAATACTTATTTGAGTTGATATCACACTGTGTACCGATATCTTCAAATAAATATTTAAAATCTTACCAATATACAATTAAAGGAGGGAAGAATGAAATATCCTCCGTAAATTGAATATGATATCAGCAAAAAGTATAATATGAGCAAGATATAATCAATACAATATACAACAAAGTCTTGCCAATTGACAAATCTGTACAATTTAGATAAATCTCAAATGATATCAATAATATACAATAGAAATATTACATCTATACATAATTGTGATAGAGAAAGATGTTGAGTAGTTATAAAAAACTAATAACCAAGATGATAGAGGTGGCAAAAGAAGAACACAAGGAGCAACAGTGTTATTTAAAAGTGTAAATTTACAAAGTTATGCTCTAAGGACCTAAATACAAAGTACTCCATCACTCTCATATGAGTATCTACTCAACAAGAGCCAACATATCAATCAAATTGTTGACTAGAAGTGCATCTAATGATCTATAAAGGAATAAAGATAGGCTCTTGGAGATCTACATAATGAAAATTTTAGTGTGACATCCAATCAAGCTTTTGGACATCAATAAAATGAAACCCTCAGCATAACATCAAAATATTATTTTGGAGACCCACAAAAAGGAAACATCTGTGTGACATCCAGAGTAAATATCTGGAAATCCACATGGTCAATAAGAATGCAACAAACATCATCCACTCTAGATGCATGCAACATTTTTTTGGTGGCATTTATTGACCTATAAAGTCAGAACAAAAAATATAATAACAAAAAAATAAGTGAATCATTAAACAGCTTAGCCCATATCCTTTAGGCAAATCCTGCTGAAGATCCTGCCTGCTACAGTGATGATGTTGTGGCTCTACAGCAGCACCGAATAGCCATTTCTTACGCCTCTTCTCATAGAGGCCTTCGACTCTTCTTAAACGAGACAAACCCCATAACATTTGGCTTCTTCTTCCTCCCACGCAAACCCCGCCTTCCCACGCCAGCAGACTCCCAGCCAGCGAACTCATTCGATACCCCACTTCTCTACTTTAGCCACCTCAACCAATGACCCTTGTCTGAGCGCTATTCGAATCCAACAACCCGTAGCTTGTCCTTATGCACAAAGACTCCTCTTCGTAAGCCAATTGATGCACTATGCTGAAGGTGCAAACCCCAAGCCCTTCTTCTATAGAGCTGATCGACCTTATCCAGATACCTGAAGAAACGAACGCCATTACAGAAGCCAGAAAACTCACAGAGCAAAAGAAAAATAACTTTCTTATTATTTACTAATGAATACAGGGATATATATATATATAGATATCTCAAATATAATGAATGGTACAGGTTTGTTTAATCTACGGTTCTTATTAACCAGTCCTTTCTTGATTTGTCTTGATATGATAACACGCACGTGCAAACTGATATGCTACGTCAGATATCAGTTTGTTAGATAGATGCCAAAACCGTGCTGTGAGAAGAGCTTTAGTAAACAGATATGCAATTTGATCTTTACTTGAGATGTGATGAACTTGTATGGTATTGTTCTTGATACATTCCCAGGTATAATGGCAATCTACCTCGATTTGTTTTGTGCGAGCATGGAATACCGAATTATTAGCTAATGCTATAGCTGAGATATTGTCACAAAATAGTTTCCTAGGTTCTTTTTGAGGGTAGCCGAGTTCTTGCAATAGTTGTTGACTCCAAATAATATATGTTGCCGCAGAAGCCAATGCTCGATATTCAGCTTCTATGGAAGATCTAGCAATGGTGGTTTGTTTCTTGATGCTCCAAGAGACAATAGAACTCCCCAAAAAGGTGCAATATCCAGTTGTGGATTTTTGATCCTTATAATCTCCGGCCCAGTCAGAATCTACATAAGAAGTTAGTTTAAGGGATTGACATGTAAGAGGAAAACATGTGTTTTGAGAACCTTTAATGAAGCGAAGAATGCATTTGAGAGCATGGAAGTGCTGATCGGTGGGCTTGTGCATAAATTGGCATGCTCGATTGACAGCATATGCAATATCGGGGCGGGTGAGCGTCAAATATTGTAGAGATCTGACTAATTGGCGATATAAAAGAGGGTTGGAGAAATTAGTAGAATTAGAACTGTAATTCGGACCTTTTGTGCAGATAGGGGTAGAAACGGATTTACAGTTAAGCATGCCGGCCCGTTCAAGTATAGTCTGAGCTAACCTTTGTTGATGGAGTATCAAATCTGTTTTGGTGTGCATTGCTATAATACCTAAGAACTGAGAAAATTGGCCCAGGTTTCTCATGTGAAATCGATTATGTAGTTTATGTAGAAGTTCTTGAAACTCTAGTTTGTCATTGCCAGTTACTATAATATCATCAACATAGATCAAAAAATATAAACGAATATGATCTTCGCAATAGAGAAGTAAGGATGGATCAGAAGAACTCAAACAAAAACCAAGAGAAGTTAAGTGACTTGTAAGCGTAGCAAACCATTATCTCGGTGACTGTTTTAGGCCATAGAGTGCCTTTTTCAGTCTGCATACAAAAGACGGATGTACGTTGTCGTGGAATCCAAGTGGTTACTTCATATAGATGGTTTCATTCAAAGACCCGTGTAGAAACACATTTGGGCCAAGAATTATGCAAAGCTATATAGTAATTAATATCCGAAATGTGGGTATTTTTGCTACCGGACTAAATGTTTCATAATAATCAATTCCATAATCTTGATTACAACCAAGTGCAACTAGGCAAGCCTTGTAACGCACAATTGAGCCATCAAAGTGATATTTAGTGCGAAAACATCCATTTACATCCAAGAATATTCATGTCAAGCTCAGGAGAAACCAAATCCCAGGTTCCTTGGGATTGGAGAGCTTGAAATTCAAGGGACATGGCGTGACGCTAGTGTTGATTTTGAGAAGCTTGAGTATAACAGGTAGGATCCTGAGATTGGAGTTGATGGGAGAGATTAAAACTGGCTTTGGGTTTAAGTTTTCCTATGTGATATCTGGTTTCCATTTGATGAGTGTGAGTGGGCTGGGTAGTGTGTAAGGGAATAGAGTTAGGTGGACAGTTACTGGAAACCATAGGTATGTGATTTTTAGTAAAGACCAGCTAGTTTTGTATCCGAGGGTGAGGAAGAGATGAGTTGGGTGATTGTATGGGAATGGTAGAAGCCGGAACCAAAAATAGAGGAGGAAGACTGGAAGGGGGAGTGTCAATCCTTATGGAAACCTGCAGATTACTATAAGGAAAAATCTGTTCATTGAATATCACATGACTAGACGTGTAGATGGTATTAGTCGTAGGGTCGAGACAGTGATAACCTTTCTGAGATGAAGCGTAGCCGATGAACACACAAGTCTTGGATAACGGGCCGAGTTTGGATTTCAAGTAAGGTCAGAGCTAGGGGTAACACAGACACCCAAATGTTTTAAGATTAGTGTAGGTAGGTTTGGTAAGAAACAAGATTTCATGCTGAGTCTTATTCTTCAAAGCACGAGACGGAAGAATGTTTATGAGATACACCACCGTGAGCACATCATGAACCCAAAGTGTGTGTGGAGAGGAGGAATAAAGTAACAGACTTCTAACAATTTCCAGAATATGTCTATGTGTTCTTTCCGCGATGCCATTTTGTGCTGGGGTGTAAGGACAAGTGTATTGGTGTAATAAACCATTATTTTTGCAAAATAGTTTGAAATGGTGATTTAAATATTCTCCTCCGCCATCCGTGCGAAGGATTTTGATAGGTTTAGCAAATTGACACTTGACCATATTATAAAATTCAACTAATTTTGAATAAACATTATATTTATGAAATATTGGAAAAACCCAGCAAAATCTCGAGTAATCATCAATAAAAGACACATAATAATAAAAACCATGAAAAGCTTTAGTAAGGGATAGTCCCCAAACATCAGAATGAACAATCTCAAATGGTGCTAAAGTAGTAGAATCAGAATGTGAAAAAGATAAACAAGTACTCTTAGCTAAGTTACAAGTATGACAATACATAGTAGACATAGCAGTATGAATATCCTAATTATATTTAGCAAGAGTACAAATTTTGTTTATATCCAGATGGCCCAGTCAACTATGCCAGAGATCTGGTATGGTTTGGACTGACAGAAGAGCCAACGAGGATGATGGATCAGACGAACGAACCGAGTAAAGACCATTATGGCATGGTCCCTGAAGTAGAACCCACTTGGTCTTCAAATCCTTAATTTGGTAACCATGAGAAGAAAATGTAACAGTGCAGGAATTATCATGCGTTAATTGAGAAACAGACAGTAAGTTAAATGACAGATCAGGAACTTGGTAAAGATTATGTAATTTGAGTGTGAAAGCCATTTTCCTTCCAGGTTCGTCTGGACAAAGTTTTTCCTCTCAGGTTCGTCCAAGATGATCGGTTCAAAATCAGGTGACAGAGAAGTTCATCCCAGGATGAAGTAGGGTTCGTCCGTATGAAATTTGTCCAGAGAGCAACTCATCCAGGAACGATAACTATTTTGTTTGAATAAAATTTGTCCAGTGGACAAATTGTCCCGGGATAATTTTGGATCATCCTGGATGATCTGCTTGGATATATATGGAACTGACATCTTTAAGAAGAGAGAGAAAAGTCAGAAGAGAGAAAGTCAAAGGAAAAAAGGAAGAAATGAGAATTTTGACGACTTTTCTGTCTCGGATTTATTTCTGTTAGCGAATATTTGGTTTTGTTTTGCAATGATGAACTTTTTACACCGCGTAACTTTTAGTATATTTTTGAGATGATATTTATGCACATTTTGAGTATTTTCTGGAAAATATTTACCGGGTATTTTTCTAAGGTGTTTTAATCTAATTATGAATTATCGGGATGTTGAAAAATGTTGCTTCAGTATAATGAAAGTCTTACAATGATATTTTTTATTATCTATGATAATTTGGTAAATTTTTGAATTTATGAATTTTGTGTACATTCCGTATATTGCCGTTATGCCACTGATGATTTTTCTGACGTAATCTGATTTTTTGATTTGAATATTTTGATGTGATGTGATATCAGAAGGGAGTTATAAGGGGCCGAAATCCTTTGTGATTTTGTTATCTAGGTCAGGGAAATCTAAAAGCAAGTTATGTTCTAAAAATTTTGTATATCTGTTCTGTTCTGGTGCTATAAGCACAAAGGGAGATTTAAGGGGCCATAATCCATTGAGATTCTGTCTGTGTATGGGAATTCGATATGAGTTAGCTGATATGTAAAATGTGATTTTATCTGATTTGAAATTTGATTTGTACGATTCTATTTATTCTGTACGATTCTGTCTGTTGTGTGAAATCTGACTTGAATATTCTATTATATTATGTTATATAAAATGAATTCTATTTATGGTTTGATTTCGGTTTGATCAAGTATCTGTATTCTATTGACTATACGATTTATGTACAATTAATTGAATAACTACTTCTGAGGTGTTTTCTGATGTGTGTTTCTGGACATTTTGATTGGTAAGTGTAGTCTTGTTGAGCTGCTAGCTCATCCTTATTATCTGCGTAGTTTTTAGGTTCTGGGAAAGGGAAGGAGATCTTGGACTAGCAGTTCAATGTCTGATCAGTGATTATTATTTTGTACTTTTGATTTTTGTACAGTAATAGCTTTTCTGTTCTGTTCTTTCTATCGGTAGCCATGCACTATATTGTGCATAATTACTTTGATGAATGAAAAAAATATAGATGAACTGTTATGTATATTTGATGTTTATAGTAGCTTTGTATTTTTTGTAAGTTTGATATTTGGAAGAAAGTCTGAAGAAAATTCTAAAACTAGATCCTGGATTTTCAACATTTATCGCGGCCCGACGCGAAGGGATTCGTTCCGGTCGGGTTGGGTCATGACAAAGCTTTAGTGGTATCAGAGCTATGGTTTTAGAATTTGGATTGTAAGACAGAGCTTTAGGAATTGATCTGTAAGTCTGTCGGGATAGTTTCTGTTTGTTTGGATTTTCATTATTGTTGTTTTATATACGCATGTGCATAGTTGCATTCTGTGTGATTATGGATCTGCCAGACCCAGATATGACTGATGGGCAGAGTGCTAGTCAGGCAGGTCCTGTGAACAGTACTACCCCAGTAGTTGGTTCTGATACAGTTTCGCAGTTTGCTATGTTGGTTTCTTAGATGATGAGCGAGACTCAGAATAGAGTATCTTCTATTCGATCTGAAGATGTAGATAGACATCTACAAATATTTCTGATATTGAAGCCTCCGAGGTTTGAGGGCACTGTTGAGCCCGAGCAACTGAGGAATGGTTGAGAAGATTAGAAAAGATATTTGACGGTATGCAATGTCCTCCAGATAGGAAGGTACCGTTAGCTATTTTTCTATAGGATGGGGAAGCAGAGTGCTGGTGGATGGGCCAGCAAGAGGAGAAATTCCAAGATAAACTAAACTCTCTGATTACTTGGAAAGAATTTTCTAAAGTATTTCGATCGTGGTTTGTACCCCCTTCTGCAAAACAACAAATGCATGAGACTTTTCTGAGGTTGGTTCAGGGGAGCATGACAGTGATGCAGTACGAGGTAGAGTTTATTGCTTTAGCCATATATGCTCCGCAGTTGGTTAGTACTTCTGTTAAGAAGTGCTATAGATTTCTGAGGGGACTACGAGATAGTCTGAGACAGCCCCTGGTGTCATTTCATATTTCTGATTTCTCTGAGCTTTTTAATAGAGCTCGTCTGATAGAGAACGATCTGACGGCTACTTAGTAGCGGTGGACTGCTAGTAGGAAGAGATTCAGTGGTGATGCTACTAGTAGTGGTTTTTCTGGAAAGAAGATTTATTTCTGGAGACTCCAAGAAGAGTGGACAGTCGGATCCACTACAGTTTCTGGTAGTGGTAGTGTGACTAGTTCTAGGTTAGTTAGTGGGGCACCTGTGTGTCAAACTTGCGGACGACGACATTTTGGCCAGTGCTATAAGAAGACTGGTCAGTGTTTCAGATGTGGTCAGCCAGGACATGAGATTTTAGAGTGTCCACAAGCTGAATTTGACTGGTGATCTGAGTCCATATCAGAGAGCTTTGCTAGATCAACAGAAAGATTAAGGACAGTTCCTCCACATACTATTTTTAAAGGCTCATCTGGTAGAGCTGGTGGTTCGAGCTATGTGGCGAGGAGACCACCTAGTGGTAGTCAGAGGGAGTCTGGTAGTTCTGCAGCTCCAGCTCCAATTCAGCCATGTGTGTATAGTTTGAATCAGCAAGAGGC